GCCTTTGCTCTAAAAAAGAGCCGCTGGATCCTAGTTGCCAGAAGTTAAGTCCAGTGAGCTCACTTATTAAAAAAAAAAAAAAATCAAGAAATGGCCAAGTATTGATAGAACTCTGGAGTTTTCAATTCTGTGTCTCAGGTCAAAAGCCCACAGGCAGACCCTATAGAGCCCCTCAGGAGGGAACCCAGCCTGGGGTACCCAGCAATTGCCTTTGTTCCTCTAACTTGGCTGCTGAGGTTCAAAGTCCTGACCTTCCAGTGGAGTTGAACTCTTCAACAGATGGAATTTCTCCTGATTCAGAGGTACAATGAGGGAAGAATAAGCTCGCCAAAGAATAAGAGCTGAAGTCAGGACAGAGTAGGCTGTGCTGTGTAACAAATAAATCCCAAATCTCAGTGGCAGTAAAGACATTCATTTATTTTACATCTAGTGAGGATGGGGCATTTCTTCTCCAACTTCTAACCATGCAACCCATACTATACGGCCTCTAGGGAAACCTCTTCAAGAGGAGGCTGCAGGATTTCACAGGTCGTTGTAAAGAAGGGTGATCATAAAATCTAATATGCTGGCACAGTCAAAATTTCCACTTGCTGATATGCTGGGATTAATCCGTGTACTCTCCTTAAATTCTGAAATGTCTCCCAGTTTAGACCATCAATTTAGGTGGTTATTTCTAAGAGCCACTCTGGAATGGCTGTCATTATTTCTGCTTATATTCTGTTGGTCTCAATCTAGCATGCACAGGTGTGATGTGTGCAGCATCGTAGAGGGGCAAGAACATATTTTAGTGAACACTAATAATTTTTGACACAATAGGCCTTTGAGGAATGTCATTAATTTTAATTTTAAAGTTTTTGGTACCAAGGATTGAACTGCTTATGAGGCAGGCGGCGGAACCACTGAGCTAAATCTCCAGCCCCCTCATTGATTTTTAAATACAACGACTTCAATGAGCAGAACTCTGTAGAGCAGGTAAAATGATATAAATATGATTATTGTGTTGGCTAAATCATCTCACGTAATAACACGTCCTGGTAGGCTGAACAGTGGCATTCCAGAGAAGTCTACATTCTAGTCCCTAGGAACCTGTTATCTGTGTGACGAAAGCACTCTGCAGATGTGATTGAGTCAAGCGTATCGGGACATGGAGGCTTTCCTGGATTGTCTAAGTGATCCTTAAATATAACCGCAAGTGCCCTTGTAAGAGGGAGTCAGAGAAAGACTTGACAGCATAAAAAGAGGAGGTCACCATGATGGATGCCGAGATCCGATCTTTGAAGATGGAGACAGGAGCTATAGTCGAGGCAGACCTGCTATCTTTCCCCTTGGAGCCTCCAGAAGGAACCTGCCCAGTCGATACCATGGCTTTAGCTCAGTGGAAGGGGTTTCAGATTCTGACCTCCAGGACTATAAAAAAGTGACTTTATGTTGCTGTACAGCACTAAATGTGAAAACCTCGTTAGAGCATAAGTAGAAAACGAAAACATAAGCTGCTGAAGATAAGCATGTAGCTTCAGTTTCCTGTTTCTTATATAGTTATTTCTATTATTATTATCATCACTTTTTAATGTTAGAAATTGAGGCCTACAGACCTTTCAGCGACACGTCCAGTGTCCCTGAGCGAGGTAGTGACAGGGTCAGGACACACACCCAGGCAGACTGGCTCCTCAGAACATGGCCCTGCCCACTCCGCACACTGCCTCCCCCTCACCCGCCATGTCTGTCGGCCATTAGGGCCCCAGCGCTCTCTGGAATCCCTCTCTCCTGTCGTGTGTCTCCCACTCCCACCGGACTTCAGTCTTCTGTCTTCCCAAGGGCTCAGGGGCTCCCCAAAACCCCCACTTTTCTATCTTCTGCTTTTAGAAAATGTATGGACGGTTCTTGGGCTTCTATAGGAAATTTCTCAAATGAAATTAGAATTCAGATGAAAGTATTGTCTTTTTTCATGTTGAAGTTTGTAGGAAGATATTACTCAAAGGGGATATTATTTCTCAGTCTTTTTCTTGCTTTTCTTTAATGTCTAATTCTCATACTCTAGAGGAGGGTAATGTTCTTAGGGACAATGAAATAGAGTCATCAATAAAAGTTATGCTAGAAACATCTTAGGCTTGTCTTACCATGTCTTAGAAAAGAAGCATCTAAAAATTTGGCATAGAAGTTAGGCTTGTTACATTAAATCTCTTTTAGAATGCAACTATCAGGCCGGGGATTTAGCTCAGTGGTTCCACTTTGTGTCTCACAAGCGCAAGGGCCTGAGTTCAACCCCTGGTACCAAAAATAAAAATTAAAAATTAAAAATTAAAAAAATGGAACTATCTTATGGCTTTACTATACCACTCTGGTATATATCTGAGGGATTCCAAGTTATCATACTGTAGGAATACCTGCATACCCACGTTTATTTTGGCACAATTTACAACATAAAGATATGGAACTAGCTAGGTGCTCATCATTGGATGCATTGATAAAGAAAATTATATATATAGATAGACAGAGATTTTTTCATTTATAAATAAGAATGAAAGTATGTCATATACTATTATTAGACAACAAAAAGAGAACAAGAACAAGATTGGGGTAGAAGGCGGTAAATGGGGAGGATGGATATGGTCAGAATATGTTACATGCATGTACCAGTATGAAAATACCATAGTGAAACCCAGTATATTGTAAAATTCATATACACTAATAAAAATACATTTAAAAATCGCCATTAGCTTGTAGTGGATGTGTACTAGTATGCATTTTCCAGATTGCAATTCACTAGTTGACCACTGAATTAAATGCTGATACCGGTCATGGGCCCTGCTGCCCAGATCTCCTCTTCATGATGAAGAATTTATCTTCCTAGGTTTTTTTTTTAAATTTTTATTTATTTATTTATTTATTTATTTATTTATTTATTTATTTATTTATTTTTTGGTACCGGGGATTGAACTCGGGTCCTTGTGCTTGTAAGGCAGGCGGCTGTGGGTTCAGTCATTTTATAGAATAATCCATAGAACTCAGGAAAGAACTTTATTCATGATTATCAGTTTGTTATAAAGGATGCAACTCAGGAACACCAGACAGCAGAAATGCATAGGGAGAGGAATGAGGGAAAGATGTCCCTGGCACCCCCATACATTCAGCCCCTGAGAGCTGCCCTAAACAGAGTTTCTAAGGAGGTTTCATTATGGAGACATGATTGATCATTAGCCATTCAGGATTGAACTTAATTGCTCCTCCCAGCTTTAGCATGTGAAAGACAGTAAATTTCAAGCATTTTAGGAGCTTTGTGCCAGGAACCCAGGAGAAAGATGAACATTCCTTTTCAGCAAACCACACTTCCTGACAGTGAACATAATGTAAGATTTATTTTTAAGCATGTAGTCTCCCACAGTATAGCTCCTGTCATAGAGGTGCTCTTCACGTATTCCAATAACAAAGCCATTGTTGAAAACGTCCACTTAGATGTGAGGAGGGAGGCAGAAGCCCTCACATTGCTAAAATGTTTGGGTTCAAATAAAATGATTAGTTTTCTGCATGTGTGGGACAGTATTTTTGGCCACAAATTGTCCTATATTAAAAGGTGACCTCTGCCCATGGAAACAGCATGCATGGCTGGGATTTAGTCGTTGCCAGGTGGCAGTGACAATGGTAATGAAGGCTTAAGAAGAATCTTTTCTTCTCTTTTAGACAATGTGCCATTTAAACCAATTGCCCACAAAAATGCTTTCTCTGCTACACCTGGTCTTTAATTTCCAATTTTCTTATTCTTGGCAAAATGTCTTTTTAAAAAATAATAATATCATTTCTTTAAAATTTAATATTAAAAGATTCCAACATCTCACCAATATGACCACTTGATCTCATATTAGTAAAACCTCTCCTGTCATATTTAAAGTTTTATTAACACAAAAATTAGAGTGATGAAAAGATAATTTTGTTCTCAGAGAAGTGTGAAATTCCCTGTGGTCTGGCAGCATGGTGTAGAAGCACTTCTCACCTTGGTACAAGGTGGGTGCTGTTTCTGTTCAAATGGGGAGAATACTATCTAATATTGCTGGCATGAATATATTTTTAATCATATAAAAGTACAGTGAAACCAAAAATATCTACTTCTCTCTTATCTGGAACTTTTATTAGACGGGACACCAGTTGCTGAAGATATTGACTCTACAGTAAGCTAGTATCATATTATTCTGTCTCCTTTGAAATGCATGTTTTCCCCCAGTCTGGAAAAAAAAAATCCAATAAATCATTAACTCCAGCAAAAGGAGATATATTAAGAAGAGATAGGTAACATTGTAGAGAAAACTATATGTGAAAATTCTGGATGAAAATACTATTTGATTTATTACCTCGAGGCTATTTAATTTTCTTCCCCTGGCTCTTGCTCTGTGTTTTAAGGTTTCTGAAAGGAGGCTAGGTTAAATCCACCCATGTCACAGAATTCACAAGTCATTCAAAGTCCCACGTGGCAGTTGCAGTACAAGAGTAGGCAAACCTAGCTGATTGTTGTGCCCTCTCTTTTTGGTCATTTAACATTTAGAATCAATGAAAAGGCCAAGGACATTGTGCAAAGAGGAATAAGAAGCTCCAGTGTAGGTACTCAATAAAAACTCACTGGATTGAGAAAAGTTGTAGATATTTTCAAGACTACATTTTCTTTATAATTGAAGTAAATCATTGGAACAAAAGAACACAAGTCATATAATCTTCATTATAAAGGAATTTAGTTCTGATGCAGAATCCCATATAAAATATAGTTTTCTTGCAAAAACTCATATAAACTGTAGCACTGGCAAATAACCTGGTGCTCTCTACTGACTTCTACAACCCTCACACAAGTTCAAATCCAGGCCAGAGTTTATTGAGCCCCTTCAGTATGCCCAACTGCATGAATGTCCTTTGCCTTCTTTTTACTATTTCAGTCTTTTATTCTCTCTGGTAGGCAAAACTGTCACCATTTCTTTAACACTACCCCTTAAAACATATCCTAGTGTAAACTAACTTACCGTTATTTGCCAAGCTGTTTTCTTCCATACTCTCCACGAAACTTTTCCTGATCTAGGAACAGGAACAAGCGCTCCTTGGTTCCTTGTCCTGCTCTATTTTAATTCAAAGCTGTTTACAGAAAAACAACAAAAGAGGAGAAGGAGGAGGAGGAAGAGGAGGGGGAGGGGGAGGGGACGGGAGGAGGAGGAGAGAAAGCTACATTAATATAATTGCCAAAGTCTTCTTTACTGAGTGGCAAAGAAGTTCAGTGATTCACTGGGAGTTTTAAGTTTACATGAGAAATTCTCCATGGAAGGAAGCCCTAGAACCTTCCATGAACAGAAGATAGAAAAGTGGGGGTTTCAAGGAGACACTAAGCCCTTGGGAAGACAGAAGACTGAAGTCCAGTGGGAGTGGGAGACACACGACAGGAGAGAGGGATTCCAGAGAGCGCTGGGGCCCTAATGGCCGACAGACATGGCGGGTGAGGGGGAGGTGGTGTGCGGAGTGGGCAGGGCCATGTTCTGAGGAGCCAGTCTGCCTGGGTGTGTGTCCTGACCCTGTCACTACCTCGCTCAGGGACCCTGGACCTGTCACTGAGCCTCCAGGTCTCGCGAGCGCGTGTGTGTGTGTGTGTGTGTGTGTGTGTGTGTGTGTGTGTGTGGTAACCATATAAAAACACGTTGGTGTCCAGATAAATCAAGACAACATACAAACAGTTCAGGAAATATCTCCCAAGAAATACTTTTACCTTTGAGCCTTGCCACTGTATTTTAAGTCCTGTGAATTTTTATCTTTCTGTTTTGAACTCCCTGGAGAGAAGAGTTAACTCTGACTTTCCAAAGCACATCCGGGTACCCTTCCTATTTAGGACATTGATGTGCTTTGGATGTGAGGCCTAACAACACTTTCAGAACTGGCCTTCGTGATTTTGATGATAGTGCCTTTTAAAATATTTGATAAAATGTGTACTTTGAAAATTACCATAAAAATGCTTATGTGATATTCTAATTCTAGTAAAAACATTTTGAAATGGAAAAAATTTTTAACTCCATTCACAATAGTGGCAAAATTATCAAAAGCCTTGGGATAAATTTAACAAATTATAGTAAGGTTATAAGCAAAGATAAGGATTTCACTTTAGTAGGGTTAGCATATAATTTTACAATATCATTTATTAAATAAACTTTTGTCTTTGCCCTGCATTGAAAAATTAATTAATCATATGTTAATGATGTCTATCATCACTTCTAATTAACATATTATATGGAAATTCTCAGCTAGTAAAATAAAAGAATTTTTTAAAGGTACAGGAATGAGAATGGAAGAAGTAAAACTGTCATTTGTCATGGAAAGTCAAAAATAGTTTTCAGGTAAACTCTTTGGATGAATAAGTTTGATAAAGATGCTGTACTTGATATCATTGCAAATATGCTTTATTTCTTTGTAGCAGAAGCAACAGAAGTGAAATGCTTTCAAAGCTATCATTTATAATAGTGTCAAATATTGACATGGACATATAATGAACTGAAATTAACTAAGACCAATTAGAAAAAGAACCAAGCTGATGATCTTCTAGCCATCCAGTGTTACTAAGGAGCTACAGTTACCGAATGAGTACAGATAAATAGAGCCCAGATGAACTGAAAAATATAGACTGTCTTTTTTCTAAAAATGCATAAATTGAATAGAGAGTCCAGAAAAAGACTCATGCATACATATGCAACCCCAGGAGTGACAACAAAGGTGACTCTTCAGTCCAGGGAGGAAGAGACAGTCTCTTCAGTGAATGAATCTGGGTGACTGGATATCTGTGCAGTAAAGCACGCACTTGAATCCTTACTTGACGTAGGATGTACAAAATCAGTTCCAAATTAACTGTGGAAATGCCTGTGTGTGGAATATAAAATGACAAGTTTCAAGAGGAGATGGTGAGGGACGACCTTCCCCACTTTGTGGGGAGCAAAGCTGTTCTCAAGAGGACCCACTTAAGAAATTACCAGTCATAAAAGAAAGGCTGTAAATTGGAAGCAAACTCCAGGATGGGAGCAAGTTTTTTTTGTTTGTTTGTTTTTGTTTTTTTGTTTTTTCTGGTTCTGGGGTTAGAACTCAGGACCTTGCACTTGCCAGGCAGTTGTGGCACCACTGTGCCACATAACAGCCCCCCTTTTAAAATTTTTTTTGAGCAAATATTTTTATAGACTCAAGAAAGGACTGAATTCTGTATCTATCAAAGAGAAAAAGACAACTCAGTATAAATTGTACAAAAGACCTTCATCTCCCCCAAAAAGATACCATAAAGATAATATTTTTAGTTGTCAGGCACATTTTATATATATATATATATATAGAGAGAGAGAGAGAGAGAGAGAGAGAGAGAGAGAGAGAGAGAGAGAGAGGTCTCAACATCTAGAAAACAAGTCAATATGACAGAATCTTAAACCAGAATTATCAAGGTCTGTGAAGACATGGTATAACTGGAGCTTTTATACATTGCTGGTAGGGGATGAGAATTAGAAAGCTGGTAGAATCGGCTTAACAATAAATACATGCATATCCGATGGTCTAGCAAATCCCACTTTTGTTATTTTGATGCTAATTACATTGACATGTTCATTAGATGTAAGTATCACTTTGCACACTTCCAGTTTCCCCACTCTTTTTGCTTGTGTATTATAACTCAGTCAGATATTCACATTAAAACGTGACAACAATAGGAAAATACAGAATATGATGTTTTAGCCTGAATGAATACATGGATTTTGAGGCATTGACTTGTCTGCCAAAAGGCTCACAATGCTTGGGGTATCTGTAAAGGTGGCTCTAATAACACAAAAGAAGGTCCTGAGATTTTAGAGTAGTTTGTGTTCCTCTGAGGACAGACACAATTAGTAACTCCGGGTGACAACTACATTTATGTTTTCTTTCTCATGTGAAGCTTTCACCTGTGCTTTCCATAAATAAACTGACCTATTCATTTTCACCCTGTTAAAATGGCTGTTTCTTAATGGAAGTTCCATGAGAAGGATCAGAAACCTAAACACTTTATTTGTATCTGGTTATATTAATTATGCCTTGAAGATAACTCTAATATTAAGTAAAACTAACTTGGCAACTTTGTTTTTTTTAAAAAATGTATTCCAATCTTTAATGTGGAAAGGATTCTGGAATAAAAGAGATAGTACAAAATAAAATACAAATATTGTTTAGTAATTTTTTCCTTGTATACTACTTTGAAAATTGTCTGCTAAAAGTTGTTAAATTGGGCATGAGATGCTTTATCACTGTGAAATAGATGAAATGCTCAGTGCTGTTAAACAGCAGTGAGATGCAATCAAAACAATCATGGTAAATATATGTTGTTTCAACATATGAAAAAGCATTTAGTTGGGACTGTCAAAATTTGCTGAACAAAATGGTAATGAAATAGCAGAAACAACTATCAAAATCAAGGTTCATAACGTTTCATAATGTTATACCTTGGGCTTGGGCAGACTCTCATATATTTCTGGTTGAAATGTTAATTGCCACAACCTATTTGGAAAGTGGTTTTGGGAAGAAATGTTAAAAAGTAAGAGGTAATCATCTTTTAACTCAGCAAAACAATTTGAGGGAATTAGTAGTACAGAAATTTAAAGCACTCATATCTAAGGGTCTAAGTATGTAAAAAGTAGAAGGATGTGCTGAATGTGATACTATTATGTCACATTTAGTGAGTCATCATTGTGTGCCAGGCACCGTTTGAAGTGTTTTATTTGTATAAATTCATGGGACCTTGTAACCATCATGTCATAGATAAAGTATTCTCATTTCTATTTTATGGATGATGAAATTAAAGTGTAAGCAGATCAGATGCTTTACAGAGCTGGAGTTTATGAGGTCTGGATTTGAGCCAGGCAGTCTTACTCTATGTTACACACTCTTGATTTCCATGTAGTTATTCTACTGCCCTGTTTGAATCAAGGAGAATTTCTCATACATATTTTAACTGAATAAGCAAATAGTGGAAATGCGGTTATTCCACTTAAAGAAGCAAACAAAAGCCATATGAAAGAATACATCCCAACTGGAAACTGCTCACGTTAGGATTGATCAGTGAATGAGGATGTTATTCATTTTTAAAATTTTGCCTCTCTGTTATTTGAAGTACTAGAGAGCCTCGGAACACTGAAGCCTCTCAAGATTGAAGTGAAGAAAAGTTAACAAAACCCAGCCCCCGTTCCTGGGTTCATAATGCTTCCTTGAGAATAAAAGGAAGGGATGGTTTTTCTAACAAACAGAAAAGAAACTGCTAAAACTCGTCTGCTTGTTTCTTACCAGGATTCAGACCCGTGCCATTGCATTTACTCCCTCATTGTCGAAAGTGTTTATCCAGATTGGCTTGAAGTGGGTTCTCAGTCACCATTCATTTCCTGTCCACCTTTTTTTTTCTCTCTGTTCTCCCTTTCCTTCAGTCAAACAGCCAATGCCAGGACCACAAAAGCAGTCTTTGTTTTCTATTTTCCAGCCCGCTCAGGGTGACGTTGGCTGTGCTGGCCCCTCCAGCACAGTTGCTGATTGCCTCCTTTAGACGGTGGTCTCCAAACTTTGCTTGCGGTGGCTTCCTCTTGACTGTCACAACTTCCACTGAAAATGAGGGAGGGAGAGAGGATTTGTCGACCAGCCAAGCTGTTGTGAAGGAAAGCATTTCAGTGGAATAGGGCCACTTTGTTTTATGCTTAGAACCATGCACAAAGATTATATAAATAAAAATAGTTCACAGTTTTAGCTGCATTTGATATTTTATATGCTAATGTGTAAATCTTAATGGGATATAGAGTGATAATATATGTGACATTTTAGCACTATAGAAATATGAAACTTTGCCCTTTATTTTAGGTATCAAAGTTAACTACCCTTTATATGCAACTGTTAGGCAATTTGTATTTGGGTCCTCTTGTTGTTGTTGTTTTGGTTTGGTACCGGGGATCGAACCTGGGACTTTGTACATACGAGGCAGGCAGCAGCACCGCTGAGCTAAATCCCAGCCCTGCAGTTTGTATTTGGATATCTTGAAAACTTTACGTCAGTCAACAACTTGGCACAATACTTTGATGCTTTTTTTTCAGGTTCCATTTGATGTCTCACTGCCTTCCATATTCAATCTTGAGAGACTTTTTGACGTCGCTAATGGCTGTCTTGTATCAGGAGGAAGCCTTTTCAACTGGATGGTGTCCATTATTCCCTGAACCTCCTTGATATGGTAACCTCACAAAGGATTTAACTGTTACTGTTTTTATTAGTTTGAAATAAATTTCTGGAGGTATCCTCTTATAACTACCAATATGAAATTGATTTCTTACAGAAGGTAAATTTCTTTAAGAATTATAGATTGAAGGATTAAGTTGTATTTGAATTAAAATAGCAATGCTGTTGCTTCTTAAAACTGTATTACCAAGCTAGTCATAGAAAGTAGATTTGTGCAGTACGACTCTTCTACTGTTAGTTTATATGAGGTTGTCTTTAGAAATGTTTCTACATCAAGATTGGATCAAAGCGAATAGTTCTCAACTTGGAGAAGTTTTTCCTTAGATGACATTTGACAGTGTCTGGGAGACATTTTTGGTTGTTACAGTTGGAAGGAGTGTCTTAGAGGCATCCAGAGAGTAGAGGCCCCGGGTGCTGCTAGAGACACTCTACACAAAGAACAGGACAGCCCACTCTCTAAAACCAAACACTATCCAGCCCAGAATGTCAGCTGTGTTAGTTTTGAGAAACCCTAGATGAAATCTTGGCATGGGGTAAATTCAACTCTGAAAGTCTGTGTGTTTGGCTTGGGCTGTAATCTGTACCCAATTAGACCTTGTATATTTTCTATTTCTGAGAGGTAACATTGCACAGAATTCTATTGCATGAGCTTCGGAATTATACAGACCTGGATTTGAGTAGCAGCTTCACCACTGGTGAGCTTTGTTATTTTAAAGAGTTACATTATTTAGCCTTAGGTGGATGTTAATATCTATCTTATAGGAGTACTATATGTATTAAATTAGGTTAATCAATATGATAAAAGTGCTTGGCACATGTATAATGTAGCAATACTGCTGGTAGTTACCACTTCCTGCCAAGCTAGAAGAGAACCATGCATTTCTGACTTTTGTTGTCTGGCATTAACATTGCTGCACATGAATATTTCCCAGGCACTGGTCTATGAAAAGGTACAATGATAAATAAATAAAATAAATGTTTTAATAAATGTGTTTTCCTAAATCTTAGTGATTCAATACATCACCCTTTTTCCTTAGATTATGAATTTCTTACTTCCTAATGGTGTAAAAGGCCATTCTCTTATCGAGAACTATAATAGTAACTGGTTACTTACATTTAAAAATAGTCTCCAGTGATAATAAAAGAAAAAAATAGAAATCTTATGTTGGTTCCTAATTTTTAAAAATTTAGATATCTGTAAAGTTTCAAAATCTGGGAAAAACCAAACTAGAGTTACCCATAATACTATGTAGAGGAAATGAGTCTTTGGCAAAACATTTAAGGATAAGAAAGTTTTTATTGGTTGAAAATTTGCTATAAAAATTTGCTAGAGGCAAGAATAGTCTAGGAGAACCAGGGCATAAAAATGAAAACTCACGAGATGTATGTCCCAAGATCCGCCTGCTGTGTATCTGGAGTATGTACCATGTGTAGCAAAGTTAGAGAGGTTCTAAGGGCGAACGAGAGAGAAGGCTTGGGGCCAGGTCAGTAGATGATAGGGTAAAATTGTGGATGGTTAGGTTCCTGGTTTGAGTGGACATTCATTAGGTGAATGAAAGGAATCAGTGAAATGAGTGGTGACCTGTCCCCTAGGGGAAGGATTGGACGAGAAGGAAATGAAAAGCGGTAAGACCTACAGGAAGAGAAGAGGACCCATGCCATGTTGTAATGCAAGGGAAATCAACAAAACATTTACTGGTTAAGTGGAAATATGAAATAAAGTTTGGTTCAAACATCGCCATTTGGATGGTGATGGCTTGTGTGGTGAAGACTTCCAGGCCCTTTGATCCGGAACCGGGTTTATCAATACCCTTCTGAAATAGAGAACTCTGGTGCCTTGTATATCTCAATAGAAGAAGTTCAATTTGTTCTGCAAAAGTCAGCCATTAAGGGCAAAAAAGGTGCAGCACATTTACCTACACATTTAAATGCTGGTATAGAAATCTAACAGGACCAACGATCAAGACCATTCATTTCACCATAATGTCAGTTTACCAAGAATGTATATACCCATGGTCCATTGTTCATCGCTATTAAGTTTAGGTTAGACGATTTTCATTTTCCTTATTTTAAATATTAGTGTGTACGAACTGTTTTAAAGAGCCCTACAGTGATACCTGGTACACAGAAGAGGTCTAAATTATTTCTGCGTGCTGAGTGTCTGGATGGGACTATGCATGGATGGGTGGATGTGACGGAGGCAAGATTACATCGTGGATCCTTAAAAATCAGGGAGGCAGAGGCATCGTCAACACCTCCACCCTCATTACATGACCACAGTTGCCCACCTCTACTGGGGCGTCTGCCGTATGAAGCACTGTATTAATAAGTACCAGTACTTTGTATGCATTATCTCCCTGTCTTCATGACAGTGACGACCAACAGGCACATTGTGTTACTGACTCCATGTTACACAGTGGGAAACAGAAGCATAAGGCAGTATTTGACTTGCCCGGAGATCATGGCCAGAAGTAGGAGCCAGGATTTAAATCCCGATTGAGAAACGTGAGCTCTTCACTGCATCCACTCTAAGGCTGTGGGAAAGTTTTGAACCAAGTGAGAGAGTAAGACACAGCTGTGTCCCAAGCTAAAACTGGAACATCTGTGATTCTTGGTTTAAATGACTTGCAGCCCAGAGTGGAAGCCCTAGAAACATAGTGGTGGGGGAGATGTTGTGTACTCCAGCTTAGTGCTCTCCTCTGGGGAAGGCAGGCTTCTTTCCAGTGGTGCAGGTAATACAAAGTTAGATATTTACATGTGCTGTTATTTTGGGTGTTGTGTTGCCTGTGCTACAGAAACACTCTCCAAAACTGCACCAGACCCTGAAGCCACAGCTTCGCCATTTTAAACCATCCTAGAAATTCCCAAGCTCTTCTAACTAAAATAGAAGCAACACTTGCTACTTAAAGCTGGAACTTTCTCTGCAAGGCAGTGAGGAAGTGGTGATGAACAGGGCTAAAGTTAAAAAAAAAAAAAAAGAAAAAAGAAAAAGAAAAAGAAAAAAAGAAAGAAAATTCAGCATCTGCAGAGATGAAAGATGTGTTTATTTCCTGAAATGTCTTTTAGGGTTTTTTAAAGGCCATATTATACATTCGCAGATGCTTTTTAAAATTGCATTGTGCAGCACATATATGCAAATGTTTAACAGCAGATACCTATACGTGATGTTTTCTACTGGTTTAAGTTATAACAGAGAATGACAGGAGGCAAACTGAAAAGGGGAGAAGAAGAGAGGAAGTAAGACAGGGGAGGTAAGAGGAATCGGGGCCCACAGCTGAGCGATAGGTAATAAAACCCATCTTCTTCCCGTAGCTTGCTGCTTCTCTATCTCCAAGAGTTTGCTTTAGAAATTGACCACCTGCCAGCTGTCCTGAGGCTTAAATGCAGTGGTTTTTGCTCACTTCACACGGGGGTACTTTGCACACTTCTCAGCCCAGTTAACTTGTTCTCCTTCCCTGAACTGCGGGGGGACTAGCAGTTCTCTGCGAAGTACTAGAAGCATGACTTCTGCATCCGACTTCCCTTTTTCTGGGTATCATCATGTCGATGCTTCCCACCTCGAGGATGTCTGCCTTCCTGGACTCCGAGAGCACTGCCGGATGACCTGTTTAACCGACTCCGAAAGGTGTCCTTTGGCACATACTTGCATTGTTAGATTTTCATAGCACAACCTTCTAACCATAGTTCCGGAGCCATGAGCGTGTGAGTCTGTCCAGTATTCCTTTGCTTTGAATTTTGTCTCAGACTTCATAAATCATTTCTACTCATTTATCTTGGAACATAGAGTGTTCATAACCCTAGAAACTTAAGCTAAATATACATAATTCCATCAAAGATGTTTTCAAACCAGAAAAGAAATATATATTTGTTAGCATTATCTATGTGTGCATAGTCCTTCCTGACTGTGGGTTAGGAGAGAAGACAGTGGGCCCAGAAATCCACTGCATAGCTACATTTTTCCATTTTCTCAGATTTAAAATGCTAATGATATATCACACCCGCAAAAAAAACTTTCATTCATTTTCCCAAGGAGATTTGGACAAAAATGTTCACTGATGGGGCTGGGGATTTAGCAGTGGCGCCACCTCCAGTCTTGCAAGCACAAGGTCCTGAGTTCAAACCCCGGTACAAAACAAAACAAAACAAAACGTTCACTGATGCATTGATTATAATACCAAAAAAAAAAAAAAACTTACTAAATATGCATCAGGTGGAGGATGGATAAGTAAATAGTGACGAAGTCGTCCGGGGCATATACAGAAGTAATGAATGAATGGATAGTAGAACACGGAACATTCTTAAATGAATCGGAGTCATGTCAATCTGGATTCACTTTAAAAACATTGAGTAAAGGAAGAAAAGTAAGTATTAGAAAAGGACATACTTGGGAAAATGGGGTGCATATCAAGTTTAAAAGCAGGCAAACTGACATGACATAGTACTCGTAGGTGCATACGTCTTGTACTAAAAATATTTTAAAAGTACAGGTTAATGGTCCAAACCAAATTCTAGCTGTGGTGCCTCTTGGATAAAGGAGAAATGAGCTCTAAGAAGAATGCCTAAGAGGTTTAATTTGTATTTGCAAAACTTTCTTTCTTAACCTGGTCTCTGCTGTTTCATATACAGGATATGTTTTATAAATTTTTTAAAAATTACCTTCTTCATCCTGTGGCTGACAAGCTTTATACAGTTATTGTTTCACCTATTAGTAAACAACTGTTAAATGTGTGCTATGATTCTGGTCTCAAATGCGTATAGCTAAGAGGTTCATATCTGGTTCCATTAATTTGGGTTTGAACGACAACTAAAAATCATTTTGAAACTAATGTTAAACCATATACATATTCCCAATTTTAGAAAAGTCAATCTGAAAGTGTTAATTTTTAATATAAGATAGCAGAGCTTTAATAAATGTTTAATTAAACGAAGCAGATTTCCCTATGCAATTCCTATCCATTTTAAGTTTCCTCATTATACTTTAAATTATTTGATTTGCCAGAATTAGATATATGCAGAACTTTTTATGTGATTTCCTGTTATGTGAAATGAGGCTTACATGAGAAATCCACCCATCCATAATTTCAATGTTTTAAAAAACATACTCAATTTCTCTTTAGTTTTGTTTTCCACTTCAATAGAGAGCCTGTGTGTTGCAACTTTGACACTAGAGTTTCCATGACAACCGATTTTTTATCATAAACACAGGCTTGATTAAAAAGAAAGCTTTTGAGACAATTTTTTTTCATAATTAAATTCATTAGTGAAAAGGCTGGGTAAAGAAGGATAGGAATTTTATTTCAAGAAATAAATTTTCAACTGGAACTTCGGAGACAGAACAAAATAAATTGCAAATGAATTGTGTTTGCTCCTGTTTGATATTTAAGATCACATTTATACATTTTGTGTCCAACAGCTTGGAACAGAACTGATCTAAAATCAGGTTCTATAAAACCTTGAACCCTCCTTTAAATTGTCTAGAGTGTGAAAAGTCAGAAGATTCCTAAGTAATTCAGGGATTTCCAAGCAGTTTCATAACTTTCCTAATTTAATTTTTTCCCACAAGAATGACATGAATTTCTTTGTCTTCTTTCTCATCATTATGAAAGCAATTCAGAGCTAATGTAGAGAAATTGTAAAATATTGAAAGGTGGTGCAAAGTGGAAAATAAAAGTTTCCCAGAAGTCCACCTTTGTGAAATAACTGATGCTAGCAATTAAATGTATTTTCTACAGTATCTAATTATCTTTCCCAGTAGCCGAGAAAAGACAAATGAATGATGTTCAAACCAATGTTCAAATTCAGGACTTGAAACAACTGTCCCTGTTCCCTAAGTGTGGCATAGATGGGCCTTCTCAGAGCTAATCGGCTGGGTGGTTTGGACGAAGTGCAGAGTAATCAGGATGTGATTAGATCCAAAGGAATTGTCCATGATTCCTCTCCCAGTAGTAAAGTATGTGATAATGATCCATAGAATGATGAAAGAAATCAAATCTTCACTTGTCCTTTGGAGGCTGGTCATTTCATCTTTCTTGTAAATACGTTAGCTCCCTGACAAAGTTAACTCACTCATTCAAGCATGCATTTGTTTTTTGGTGGATTTTTTTTTGTTTGTTTGATAGATTTAGTTATTACTCTCTGTCTTTGCTTCCTGGCAAAATGTCCTTTCTCTTCTATTTATTTAAAAATATGTGTCAGATGCCCACTAGAGGCCAGGACTATGCACAGAGAAGTACCACTTAGTCCCTTCGTGAGAGAGCTTATACCTGATCCAGCCATCCCACCCAGAGGAAATGCAGTCAGCATGTTGAAATGACACCTGTACCCTATGTTCCCTGTGGCATCATTCACAGTAGCCAGGATGGGGAACTAACCATGAAATGGATAGATGGATAAAGAAAAAACCCAGGTCTATATCCACAAGGGAATACTATGCAGCCCTTAACAAGAAAGCAACCCTATCAATTGTGACAACATAGCTGAAAGACATTATGTTAAGCAGCATAAGCCAAATGCAGGAAAACAAATATTGGCAATCTCAATTATATGTGAAATATAAAATAGTTTTCTTATCAGTAAACGTTCGCAGTACATAATGTTTATATTCTTTGTGTGGAGTTGGTACATGGACACAACACCACTCAGTTTCTTTTTTCATTCCTTTTCCTTCTTCTCCCTTCCCCTCTGTCTCTTGATCCCTTTTCCATTTGAGAAAGGTCTATCTCCCTACTTCCTATTATCCATCTTTCAGTTTTCTGTTTATACTTTTGATTTCTCATATGATAGAAACTGTGTGGTATTTAAGCTGTGTGTCTGATTTATTTCGCCTAACATTATGGTCTCAAGGGGCGTCCAGTTTCCTACAAATGACTTGTTTCTTTCCTTTTGTAAAAAAAAAAAAAAAAAAAAAAAAAAAAAAAAAAAAAACACACAGCAGTGGTTACCAGGAGCAGGGGAAAGAAGTTGAGAGACATTGGTCAAAGCATACAGGATTTCAGTGAAACAGCAAGATTCATTTCAAGAGATCTATTGTACAAAATTTTGACTCTAGTTAATCACAATGTCTAATAGTTTTGAATAATGGCTAAGACAAGATATTTTGTGTTCTCATCACAATAAAGTATGTGTATGAGATAACGTATGTGTGTGAATCTGCCCAATTTAGCCATTTCACAATGAACATATTTCAAAACATAAACCATATATATAATATATATTATATTTTATTTGTTAGTTTGAACCTTACACCCTCACATCTGCTGACCCCGGATCTTCATGGCATAGCCTCCGTGTCTCTCGGTGGAGCCCGTCCTCCCCACTTCCTCCCTGATTCTGCCGGAGAGACACGCATGCTCCGGTCACACTCGTTCTGTTCCCATGCCTGTCTGCTCCCTGAGGTCAGAGAACAAGGTGGGCAGATTTCAAGGGGGTGAAGGAACTTATGTTTTCGTTTTATACAGATGTTTCTGGTTAAATTTAGATTTCCACCTAACAAACAAATTTCACACTTTTTACTGGTCCATTGCATTTTTAATTTTTAAAAACATGTTGGCACGTGTTTGCAGTGCATATGTTTACACTGCAATTTTTTTTTTCTACTTTCACAACTCTTTGGGTCCTTTGCTATCTTTTCTACTGGCACGCTTTCCTTTTTTATTTCTAGATCCCTCAGTGTCAAGGACACAAACCCTCTTTATATATATATATATATAT